ATAAAATGGTGAATGATGTTGCGCCAACAAAAAATTCGAAATGTTCCTTCACCAAAAATTCAAATGTTCTATTTGATTTCAAACATGATAGATTTTAGCGCATAAACGAAGTTTCTCACAAATATTTTCCTATATTTCATCATAGTTTTTAGTGCTATAATCACAAACAGGTGCTTTCTTTGCTTTTTGGGTCGCACGCAGGTAACGACACCACGAAGAGATAGTAGGAGAACTCTCATATGATAACGAAATGATAAACAGCGTGTAAATTTGAACAACTTCAATGCGAATATCTCGCGAAATGAAGAAGTTAAAGAAACGCCGTTTAGCAAAAATGCTAAAGAGTTAGCGGGAACTAGAACCACCATATTTCAGTGAAGGGATGAGTCACCCCGTCGGCGCGACACACCCTAACTTCAAAATGTCAAATGACACTACCACTAGAGATCAATTCTAGCACCAACACTATTCCTACTCCATATCGACAATTTGTTGGAAGCAACCTCATGTCCAGTACACAGCTTCGCGGATAATAGTACCCTCCATACCACCTTCTCATCCAGGGCTCCAATACCAGCCAGGCAAATCAGAAACGAACGAGGGAGAAATGTTGACAACCTAAATATGGACTTGGCAACAATTCTCGAATGGGGATCCAATAACTTAGATTTCAATGCAAACAAAACACAACTATGCCTTTTCTCTAGAAAAGCCGATCTCACTGTGCCCAACATAAGCTGGTCAGGAGTAACCATACCTTTGGAGACATCCATTTCGATGCTTGGTATTACTATCACCAATAACATTTCTTGGTAAAATCACGTGAGATCAATTGTTGAAAGTGCATCCCAAAAACTTGGTTTTCTGTTTCGGGTCAGAGGCTATTTCACTTCAGTCAGCTGATTATGATCTATAAGGCACATACTCGACCTGTCCTGGGATACTGTTCCCATATTTAGAGTGCAGCACCCAAACATACCCTAAAATTGTTGGATTTTGTCCAAATGAGGGCAATTCGCCTCTTGGGTGATGCCTCGCTCACAAACTCACTCACTTCTCTAGAACACCGTAGAAAAGTTGGCGATCTGGCTCTATTTTATAGATATTTCCATGGACGATGCTCTTCTGAAATATCAATAATTGTTCGTTCCTTGGCAATCCCCGCGAGATTGACCCGTCGACCTGAGGAATCGCACCCCTTCGTGGTCATTTCGGAGACCTGCAGAACATCTCTTTCCAAAGGGAGGTGTTTCCCGAAGCATATAACCTCCAGTAATTCTAGAAGAACACCAATTCCTACCTTATTTCCCTTGGTTCTCACGATGTTCTCTGAACATAACAGGTTATCCCTCTTCGTGGGAACCAGAACATAAAAAGAACCTCTTTTGTGATACCTCGAATAGACGGTCTCAGTCGGTAGTATTCACCTGTACAAGACTTTTTTCCACCCACTACAGGGTGTACGAAAAACATAAAGTCGAATTATATGAAATGAATTGTGTTAAAAGGATATTTTATTTGATTAGATGTTCAGAATGCATTCCATTCTGTTGCAAGCGATGGTATAATCGATGTTCGAATGCCATTCTGACATTTTAGAACACGTCTCTTGGAATAGATCTGCATTCTGTATTTTATTTCATTCGACTTGCATCAAAAGAGCTAAACATTTTTGAAGCCTAACCTACAAGAATAAAGTAATTAGTAAAAGTGCATTTAGATCAAAAACTAAACTTCGATCATCATACCCATAGCTGATCAGTTGATGAAAAAAAGTGCATCACAACAGCTTAAAATTTTCGAAGCCTAACTCACAAGAATAAAGGAACAAACTAAAGAACTGCAGCACATATTCACAAAGCCATTCGCCGCCCAATTCTTGAGTATGCTTACCCAATAAACATAAACACGAGTAAGAAGGCACTGAACAATTTGGAAGTAGCAAATAGAGCTAGCCTGAGAGCCATTACCAAAATCCGGCACCCTCAAAATCCCCTTCACCATCCATGAAACGAATTTCTATATGGGCTGACCAGGGTGCAACCAATTTCTGAGAGACTGAAAAAGCTAACGTTGAAGTTTTCCAAAAACGAATCCAATCTCTAAATTATCCAATTCCAGTGTTCACAGAGAGATGCAACAGTGAACCAAAGACGGAAGTTTCCGGAAAACACACTATTGGAATGCTTAATCAATTCAGAAGACTGAAATTCCTTCAAAATTCTTGCCTCACAATAGACTTTTCTCCTTTTTTTTACACTAGCAAATTTGATAATTCCATATATCTTGTAGAAACACACCCTGTACATAATATGTCCCACAGGAAAGTGAAAATAATGTAAATAGTTCACCAAACGGTACCTACCTATGCAAATCACTTTCCTGAACAGAATGATAAAAAAATTGCACTCTCCTGTGCGGAAATTCGCACTAGATTTCGAGATCTGATAACGAAATGAGAATTATGCCATTCGATACCAATTGAATGGTGGATCTCAAAAACCTACCTGTGCCACCCCTCAGTCTGAACCAAATCCACGGCAAAGCGATTAATTTGCTGCCTACTCTTCCGGGCAAACTTCCGTCATATGATGACAAGTTGAAACAAGAAGCAAACAAAAGGGAATAATGTCGCCTTTGCGAAAATAACAAAACGTGCCGTGATTCAAACTGATCTAAATATTTCGCCCTCGTCGGAAGATAATATCCGATGGACCAGTGTGCTCACACTACGAGTGATCTAATCTATATTGAGTTTGACGAATTGAATTAATAAGATGTAAAAACCATGTGAATTCGATTACCAAACAAGAGATTTTAGACCTTCTGTCGATATGTCTCAAACAAAATTACTTTCAATTTGACAACAGAATATATTCCGCGTCAAAAGAATTGATTATGGGAGATCCGTTGAGCCCTTTACTTGCTGAAACATTTATGGATAACTTGGAGCAAATAATACATACACATCTATTGATAAAACAATTTTGGTATTGGTATAGATACGTAGATATAGTATGCTTTGAAGGAACCATTGGACAATTAGACACTTTTCACCAATATATTGATGAAATTTATCCAAACATAAAATTCACAATGGGAATAGGAACAGAAAAGTTAATCAATTCCTCAGATTTGACAATA